GACATAGGTACAGCAAGAGAAGATCAGAAACTATTCCTCTATGCCACAGGAGCAGCAAGGATCCTAATTGCTAAAAACTGGGAAAAAAGACACAAAAAAGAAATGGCAAGACAAAGTGTATACTGAACTGGCTAGATTAACAGATGAAATTAAAGATCACACTAGAAAAGAGTTTCAAAAAGCATGGGGAAAATGCAGAGAATACTTCACAAACAGTGCCCTAAAATACATACCTGGACTTGTTTCGATTAATGTCTGCAGGAGACTTTGTGGATATTTAAGTTATAATTAGAAAAATCTTAATAATTATTCATAAAGGAAACAGTTTATAAGAAGTACCGTAAATAAGGAGGCCAGATACAGGATAAAGGAAGTCTTTTATTTCGTTGTTTATATTGTTGTATGTTATGCTTACTGTATGTTATGTTCACATTTAGTGAGGGTGGATTGTGTATTGGGGGTTGGGGGGTTTATGTTATGTTGTAAATAAAATTCCAATAATATTTTTTTTAAAGGTAGGATTTGTGACAAGTCTGTCACCTCCCTTTCCTGGTAGCTTCTCCCCCTTCAAGTAAGGTACAAGCAGTGCCGGATTTACAATATTGAATCCTAGTTCCTAAGTAAAAGCTCTTCCATTGGCACTTGTCTCTTTAATTCTACAGCAGCCTGCATATGAGGATTTCATTAACACATTCTGTGTTTGAATACTGAATCTCAAGTAATCATCCTCAGTAATCTATCCTACTCCAATAAACTGGAAGCTTAGAACTATAACACATTCTTTTGAAGAGCAGTTTTCTCCTTTTCCTACTTATCCTGCTCTAATAAACTTGACCAACCACTTGCTGGCCCAGGGGTTGTGCTCCCCAGTCCCCAACCCAGATAAATAAGAGACCAGTAAAATTGGTTTGGATCAAAACAGGTCACAACTTTATTGAATACAGTGGTACGTCAGGTTACATACGCTTCAGGTTACATACGCTTCAGGTTACAGACTCCGCTAACCCAGAAATAGTACCTCGGGTTAAGATCTTTGCTTCAGGATGAGAACAGAAATCATGCGGCGGCGGCACAGCAGCAGCAGGAGGCCCCATTAGTTAAAGTGCTGCTTCAGGTTAAGAACAGTTTCAGGTTAAGAACGGACCTCCGGAACAAATTAAGTACTTAACCCGAGGTACCACTGTACAGATGAAAGAGGTTTGGCTTGGGCATGGGGCAATCAAAATATTTCCAGCCCACCCGCCAGAAGTGACACATAGGTCAATCCAGATGGGGGTTCCTAAGAGTTACATTAAATAGGGTGACCCCCACAGGGACTGCCGTCTGGGGGAGTGCCTTCAGTCCTGGCCCCGCCTGGGCACACAGATATAACCACTCCCCCCCCCATATCCCATTAATGGGATACACCAGTCTTTGGAGGGGCAGGCGAAGACAACGGATTGTCCCAATGCCCAACCGAGCAGACAGCTTGCCAAAAAACACTTACATCTACATCCATGCCCTAATACATTCAATCATATCTGGCAACCAAATGTTGTTTCCTGATAAGGAAAGATGCGCGCCATCTGGCCTAAACAGGGTCTCATCTGAGAATGTGATCTTGGGGTGGTAAATCACTCAACGACCCCACTGTAGTATGCAGCACCTCACTGCGCGATTAACCTTTTGCCAAGCCCGGTTGATCCCCACTGAGTCTGGGTTCTGCTATTGTCTCTCCAGCATCTCGGACCAGCCTAGGCTTATGGAGGGGTACAAGTTGTGCAATGTCTGCAAGTCCTCGATTATAACCCATGTTAGATCAATACCCTTGTGTTGGCCCAAATCGTTTCCCCCCAAATGAATGAGCAAAGCATCCAGGGGCCCTTGGGACTCAATTCTTGCCATGACTAAAATTATTGCAGGTGTGGGCTGCTTAAATGGCCTGAAGGAAGCCTTCCTGCTCCATCGGCATTGCCCCCTGGCACAGCCCAAGTCCCAGCCTGCATCCTCATTCACCAAAGCAGGGTGCATGCCAGGATCCGGCTCCTGATAAGCCCTCACCACCTATCAGGAAGGACACCGAGTGCATGGTTCCCTCGTTGGGGCCCCAGTGGATCCTCTACCGTCCTGCAATGCCGCCACACCAAAAGGGGTGAATGGACTTGTGCTCCAGGCATTATCTGAGATCTCCAATACCATCCATTTGATAGTTGGAATTAAATTATGCTGTGCTGATTTTACTACAGACAGCTCGTCAAGAAATTTGAAGCATTGCCCCTATTAAATTTCCAGCAGCTAGATGTCATAGACAGCCCTTTCCTAAACAAACGTAGTCAAGTACAGTAAATTCTAAATAATATTTTTTCTTGTATGACTCTTAGTCTAAGGTCCAGAGACCCCCATGTTGTAGAATTTAGCACAGGTTCTCATTGCTTGGCCAAGATTGACATCCCTAATTCATTATTCCGCTCCTCTCTTAATATTTGCCTATCAAACTGGTATGCTTATAATAAACATTTGTATAAGGTTATAGTGGTTTGTTTGTTTTTTGTTACATGTGAGTTGATCAGCTGTTTTAATAATTCTGGAACCTCTGAGGCTGTAAAAGCTGCTGGTCCATAGATGGTAGCTATGGAGTTTTATGCCGGTGTCAATTGAGCAGGTTCTCTTTCTGTATATTTATTGGTTTACACTGACGATGAGAGAAGATTGGGGGCAGGCCGTGTTTATTTGCATTTTATTGCCTCTGATGAACTGTAGTGAGATTTGTTTGAAGTTGCGGAAGGGTGTGTGTGAAATATTAGGTCAAGTTAGCCATATTGATCTGAATGCTGTTGGTATATCCCTGCTATCACTGTTGCCAGTTTGAGCTGTGTGTGTAACAAAAGGAAGCCATACCAGAGTGAAGGTGTCCTCTCTTTTTTGTCTTCATGTCAGTTTTAGTTTGTCGGTTAATTTTTCTAATAAGGTCATTTCAATTTGGTACCAGTGGTCCATGCTTACTCCAGACAAGTCTCTCCAGTGTCTAACTATGACGTTTCTGGCTGCTGAGTGTAGGTGGGTTATAACCTCTTTGTGGTGTAAGTGAACATTATTGTTTTGGAAAATAGGGCCAATTCTGGAGTGGGTTCCAAGACCTCCTTAGTTATGTTACATATTTTTTGTACGACTGCTGTCCAAAAGGGTTGGATTCAGGAACATTCCAACCACATGTGAAGGTATGTGCCTGTAGAGGTACAGCCTCTTCAGCATTTTGATAAGGTTCCTGGATGTATTAACACCAATTTCCTCAGGGTCAGATGCCATCTATAGATAAGTTTCAAAGTGAGTTCTCTTCTTTTGGCTGAGATGGATTTAAAGGGAGGTTTGGACCAAATTGTAGTCCATTGGGTAGAGTTTATTTCGTAACCTATGTCATGTTCCCATTGTTTTTTAAGTGTATCAAGTGAAATTGCGGGGTTGTGAAGTAGTATTTTGTATATTGCAGATACCACCCCCCTACCATGTCCCTCTGCTGACAAGAGAAGGCTTTGTTGTTGTTTAGGGATGTGTGCAGTTGATGGTGCGTTAGCCAGGATACTTGAATGCCTCCTAATTTATCCTGTAATTCTTGTGTTGATATGGGTTTATTGTTTTTGTAGAAGTCTGCAAGACAGTATAGGCCTTTGGTTTGCCATGTTTCTATGTGAAAGGTTTGGGCCGCGTGACTGATAATGGATAATGAGACAAGGGGATTATGGGGGGTTGGTGGCAATGTGCCTACTTTTTGTTTCCAGGCCTTAAGCATGGATAGTGTGAATCCCCCTTCAACTCAAGCAGCTGTGATAGGTGGCCATCCAACCTCTCCCATAAGGCAGCCAGTTTGAATCTTCCCCCCTCAGTTTACCCCATTTCTCCCTTTTGTGGCACAAAAGCGAGAAACTCGTGTCTGGGAGAGGGAAGGCAATCCTGCTTTCTGCCTGCCATAGCGCTCTCTCTCTCTCACTCAGTCCCTCTCTCACACACACACAAAAGTGGAGACGGAGCAGGACAATATTTTATTTCCTACTTTTAAGTAAATAACAGTTGATTATTTTTTTATGGCTGTGGCTGCAGGAGGCAGAGTGGAATTAAGAAGGGCTGTGTAGAGGAGTGAGCTCATGTGCTTTAAAATCACAGGCAGCAGGTCCTTCCCAGCAATTGCCTCTAGCCCCTTGCATTGGCTGGACTGTGGAGGGGAGGGTGTGGGCAGGAGGAGTGATCAGGAGGAAGGGAGGAGGCAGCCCATTTGTGAAGGATGGAAGCTGCAGGCAGGCAAGCAAGCAGGCGAGCACCTTCTCAGGCTCCTTCTGGTGATGTGTCACAAGCTCAAAATGGTCATCGGGATATGCTCTTCAAACTGGTTTCTAAAGGTTTATTGATATATTGCGCAACCCTGCCTACCCCACATACAAACTGTTCAGCCATGTCTGCCCCCTGCTCTTTCTCTAGCACCCCACTCCATCTCAGATTCTGATCCCAATTTCAGTAATCCTCAGGTTTAAGATGTAAGTCTGGGACAGTTTTCTTTAGCTGTTTAACTGCACGTGGATTGCTGAGACTCAGATTCAAAGCTGAGTTGGCTGGTTTTTGTTAGATCAGTCACTTTTTTCACCAAGCCTGGCTATATTTTTATGTTCTCTACTTTTCTTGCTATTTGCTTATGAAGACTTGCTTTATAGGGCTCAAATCTTGGAGCACCCTTTTATCAACATAAAAGAAGTGCCACTGTTTTAATACAGGTGATTTATAGACATTACTCCTTCATATGTAATATTATTTCATGTTTCAGTTAAACACTCGCCTTCCCGTTATACTCTTTGATTCTGCCGCTACTAATGCAAGTTCCCACAAAAAGGGGATTCTGGGAGTATTGCAGGATAGGGCAGGAAAGCACTTGTACCTCTTCCAAGCCTAGGACCTTCTGCACACACAGCAGGTGCTGAGCTACTGAGCTAGGGACCCTTCCAAATAATTCATATACAATCCAGCACAATTCTATGCATGTTAACTTAGCTTTAATTACATAATTATTAATTTTTCCTATTACAAACATATAGCTTATTTTATATAGACTAGTCGGCTTTGTCATGCTTATCAAATCGTTCTAAAAGAGCTCTTAATATATTTCCTGGCCTCTTTTGGTGTCTATCCCGAAGATTTTCAAGTGCAGTCTTTGCCTGTTGAAAGAAAAACAAAGGACTACATTATGTTGTTGCAAAATAGATATTCACAGTTATTAATATCAGTGGGGAAAATGCTAAAGGCATCAGAATCTGTGGCATCCAGAATCTCCTTCTTTCCAGCAAAAATGTAAATGTAAGCAACTGAATTTATTTTGAGGGACGATGCTGCAAATGTAAATCCAGTCATTTGTATTCAGAGATGTGTTGCATGAGAGGCCTTGTGTATCAACACTCAAGAGCGGTTTTTTAGGCATAGAGGGTTGAGCAAGAGGAGCCAGGACCAGCAAACTCTACAGCAGTGTTTCCCAACCGGTGTTCCGCGGCACACTAGTGTGCCGCCGGACGTTGCCTAGTGTGCCGTGGGAGCAGTGGCGTAGCGTGGGGGGTGCCAGGGGTGCCGGCCACACCGGGCGCAACATCTGCGGGGGCGCGAGTCCAGAGGGAAGGGACAAGTTCCTTCCTCCGCCGGGCTCCCCGCCGCCACCGCCAGCCTTGCGCCCTAGCGCGCGCGCGCCCCCCACCGCCGCTGCGGCTGCGCTCTGCAGACTGGCCGTTTTATTTGGCTTTGAAAGCCCAACAGCTGCAAATCAGGCGCTCTCCCCCGACCCGCGCCCAGCGCCTCTCCCCTTTCTCTCCCGCTTCTCCCTTTCCCAAGGAATCCGAGAAGACCTGCGTTTAATGAAACGTGAAGTGTGAAAACTTCCTGAGCTGCAGAGGCAACTCCTTAATGATGTTCCCAGATGTGGCGGGGCTGGAGAATGGGGTGAAGGCGCGCAGAGGCGCCTGCCGGAGAGGGAGAACCTCACCTTGCCGCAGGCACCGCTAGGGCCTGGGTAATGGGGGGAAAAGAGCTCTCCAAGCCGCGCGTAATTACGCACCGCAGAGATTCTGCCCTTGCGATGGGCGGCTTCCACCTCGCTCTGGAAAACACCCCGTCCTTGTTATCTTCTTTTTTTTTTAAATTATTATTTCTTTTCGCGCTGGGGACTTGTTTCATGGGGCTGAGGGGAGGGGAAGAGTCCGATCACTTGTTTAGAAAACAAGTGGGGGGTGGGGGGGAGGGAAGAGGGCTGCCAGCACCTCCGAGCTATTCCGGTGAAATTCAATTTGCACTGAATTCTAAAGATCCTCTTGCTGATTCTCTTCCAGGCTGTTACGCGCCGCAAAGACAGCTTGGAGGAACAGCCCACAAGGCAAAGCTGAAACTCCTTCCCTACCACAAAAATACTTTGTATTGGACTTTGTGGTTGGAAATAATTTCACTTTTTAAAAAAAGGAAAGAGAGGGGGAAAAAGCGAGGGATGGAGGAAGGGGAATAAACAGAAGGGGAGGACAATGAAGAGGGGCGGGGCTTGGCAGGCAGCAGATAACTGGGGAGGGGGGCGCGGCTGGCGGCGGCTCAAGGCAGGAAGGGAGGAGCTGCCTCGCGGAGAGTCTTGGGCTGCAGAGATTTCCCGTTCAGGAGCGCGGGAGGCCACGCCGTGGATGGGAATCTCCTCCTCCTCTTCCTCCTCCAGGAGAGAGGGTGGTCCGCCCCACCGAGTCGGGCCTGCTCAAGCGTGGGAGCCTATAGTTAGAGCTCAGCTCCTTTTCTTGCCTTCCCCGCCCCCCCACGGAGCACATTTTCCTCGCCCCCCCAACCCCCGCATGTATTCGCCCTCCAGCCTCCACGGTGCACAAACTCTCCCCTCTGCAACAAAGGGCTTTGTTGCATATCTTTGGTGAGGTTTTTAGGCAGTCTTGGTGCACCTTAAATCAGCGCTAATTGCGCCTGGACGCAGTATTTACTTCCGAGTAGGCCCCCTTCTCCCCCCCCAGCACCTGACGTTGCTATTCGTATCATCAGGTTTGTTTGTTGATAATTTAATTGTTTTAAAAGCATCATGCTAAAGAGCTCTCTCCCACCCCCAGACCCTTGGGCAAAACAGAAACACACACATACACAAACACAGAGATTGAGCCCTGCAGGTTTTATGAAATGAATGGATTCTGAATGCCTGTTTCAGTGGCTTGTCCGCCTTAGGCTGCTGGGCCAGACACCTGTTACACGGTGCAGTCCGTAAGCTGTGAGCGCTGCTACCTGCCGCCGAGACCACGTAACGACAGTCTTGAAAGACCTACATTGGCTCCCAGTACCTTTCTGAGCACAATTCAAAGTGTTGGTGCTGACCTTTAAAGCCCTAAGCGGTTTCGGTCCAGTATACCTGAAGTAGCGTCTCCGCCACCATCGTTCAGCCCAGACACTGAGATCCAGTGCCAAGGGCCTTCTGGCAATTCCCTCACTGTGAAAAGTGAGGTTACAGGGAACCAGGCAGAGGGCCTTCTCGGTAGTGGCGCCCGCCCTGTGGAATGCCCTCCCATCAGACATCAAAGAGATAACCATTACCTTCTATGCTGTTACTATTTTTTAATTTTTTTTTACATAAGTAAAAAGTGACCTTTCCCCATCTGGCATGGTGGTGTGCCTCGAGATTTTTTTCATGAAACAAGTGTGCCTTTGCCCTAAAAAGGTTGGGAAACACTGCTCTACAGTACAACCGCTCATTTCTCTGTGAAACCAGCCCATTGTATTCATGTTTACCCTGGTTTTCTCATTTAGGAAGGCCCCAAAATTGTTGAGCTTAGAAAGCCCTAACCAACAGCAATCTTTAAGAATGAACAAAAAAAAATTCCTTCCAGTAGCACCTTAAAGACCAACTAAGTTAGTTCTTGGTATGAGCTTTCGTGTGCATGCACACTTCTTCAGATACCCTTCCAGTAGCACCTTAAAGACCAACTAAGTTACCGTAGTTCTTGGTATGAGCTTTCGTGTGCATGCACACTTCTTCAGATACCTTCTTCCAGTAGCACCTTAAAGACCAACTAAGTTAGTTCTTGGTATGAGCTTTTGTGTGAATGCACACTTCTTCAGATACCTGCATGCACACGAAAGCTCATACCAAGAACTAACTTAGTTGGTCTTTAAGGTGCTACTGGAAGGATTTTTTTTTGTTTTGACTATGGCAGACCAACACGGCTACCTATCTGTAACTGGAACTTTAAGAATGAGTTATTGTCACATTATAATGTAATAGCAGAGTTTATCATAGAGATGGCACCTGTGTTTAAAACTGTCTTCTGTGAAACAGCATCCCATTTAGGAGATTGATAATGCACAAGCAATAACTAACGAAAAATGTGTTGGAGATTCAGGGCTGGTAGCTCATTGGATTGGAATCATGGCTGTTGAAGAGAGCTGTATTCAACAGTGCAGTTCGGCTCATGCAACACACATCCACGTGTACAATGAATTGTCTTCCTCTTCAGCCCTCTCACCACCCTCAAAAATTGGCACTGGGGTGACTTAGAGGGACCCTCTGGGACCCAGTTCTGGGGCCCATAGTGGGGGAGAAAAAGTTCCATTGTGTGAGCAGATCTCTCTTTGTGCTGCACTAGATAAAATGCATAGTTTCTCCCATTCTATTAGTTTGAACAAGTTAAGAAGAGGGAAAACTGAGCGAGGAAAATAATGCACAAAAGTGTATATAATGAACCCTATCTCTGGTCGTATAGAATGAGGAAGTGAATACAGTGGAACCTCGGGCTGCGAACGTGATCCGTGCGGGAGGCACGTTTGCAACCCGCAGCACCGCGTCTGTGCACGCATGGGTCGCGATTCGGCATTTCTGTAACCCATTCCGGTACTTCCGGGTTCGGCGTAGTACACAACGCAAAAACACGTAACCTGAAGCATCTGTAACCTGAGGTACCACTGTACGCAGAATACAATTTAGAACTGAAAGAGAGAGAAACAAACAGGAAAAAAATATTATGCTTCTTTACAAGTGTAGGGTTCACTTACGTTTTCAGCCAGCTCTGTGGCAGTTATATTTGGATCATATGGGATGGGTTCTCCAACATATGTCCTCAGTTTCACTGGAAGTCCTCCATAAGTGGGAAGGAGTACACGTCGAGTTTTCTCATACAGCCATTTTGTCAGCCCTGTAAAGGAAAGTGAACGCATAGCAAATCGGACCTTAGTAAGCATTCTGTTAAGCAATTGCAATCTATCCATCCCAAGGAGGAAGAGTTAAATAATATGAGTGCTTGGGAAAAGATATGCAACATATTCAATCAGCTCTTCTCATCTCTTGGCAATTGGGATCATAAATTGTACAATAGACTGCAAAATAAATCTAATAGAAAACTAAACAAAGGCATATTTCTCAATACTGAGGCAGGCAGCACAGATAAGTGTCCATGGAAGAAACTCTGCTAGTAAGTAGGAAACAGATAATAGGTTTTTTTTAAAAAACATAGTCTATTATTAAAACGTATATTGCCTGAAACTGGATCTCTTGCTCAACCAAGAAACGTAAGATATTTAACTCACTTGTCTTTCCCAAGCTCCTGTATGCTTCACAACTGTTTTGTGTAAATATTGGGATGATGGGCTAGAAGAATGAAAGATGAAACAAAAATGAAAGAAAGGCGAGAACTGGATAATTACTTCGTCCTGACCACGCCACCTTTATTTTTGTTAAGGACAAAGAAGAATGCTTCACATCTGAGATTATTGTGAGAAGCAAGTCATAAATTATGCAATTGGCTTCAAAATATCTATTCAAATATCTCAGGTGAAGAAACTTCACAAGTTGTTGCCCAGATTTTCAGGAATTGAAGAGAGAGAAAAGGTTCAAAGTCCATTGTCAGGGATGATTGGTGAGTGCTAGAAGAGATAAGAGTCCGGGAATCCAGCCATATTTACGAGATTTATTGGTTTCTTTCTGCTATTTACACGGAGCTCTGAGAGTCAGCCTGCATCATGGAGAGTCAGTTGCAGAGACTGGAGAAGCTTTCGCTTTCTTCCAGCATAACCACTTCCTGAACCCACCCCCTTTCCTTCCTCTGTTACGAGAGTGGCTGGGCCCCGGAAGCTGCTCCCCCCTCTCTGATTCATTGCTTCCTAACAGCCCTTCGTCACCCTCCTCGCCCGAGGAAGTACAGCTTCTAAGTAACGGAGGCTTATCTCTGTAAGTCCCCATTCTCTCCCCCTTCTCTGCCTCCAATTCCCTGACAGCCATTTTTCTTATTAAACGTTATTGATTTCAGTAGCTTTTTTAAAAAGCAGGAGAGGGGAATCCATGGCTCTCCAGATATCATTTGACTCCAAAACAGGATATTTGCCATCCTTAGCTATGGAGGATGCTAGATCAAGGCTGTCAACACATATCCAGGATAATTGTGAGGGCAATGCAAATTGCCCAAAGATCACTCACCACTTTTGCCTCCAAAGCTATTCGAGCAAAACCTGTGCGGTTACCCCATATTAAGCTGTAGTCATTACTAAAGTTTGCTTCTCTAGCTCCACCAGGTGCAATGCCCAGTAAATGGCCTTTCTTCAGAATTTCCACACATTCTGCATTTGTGAAATCTCTCAATAAGACAACATCATAAAACGTCTTCAGCCCTAAAAAAGTAAGCCCCAAATAGAAAAATGCATTTTACATAACTCTTAATGAGGAAATAGTGTGGATACTATACAAGTGTCATTATTCCAAAGATATTGCTCTATTACGGATCAGCTAGGATTTCATGGAAGGGGGACTTTATGCTAGTTTCCCTTTTGTTCATGTCTTCTGGCAATAGCCTTTTTTTTGGAAAGCACACAGAGTGAGATTGCGTGCTGAGGTGAGCACATTTTGGGCAAGTGATCCTCAAGTCAAGTCTCTAGTACAATAGATGGATATTCAAGTTTGCATCATGATAAAAATACAGCCCATAGTGCCTTGCTGGATAATACAAGTCTTCAATCCCTATAGGCTGCATGGGGTTTGGATACAGTGGACATTCACACATAGACGATAGATAGATAGATAGATAGATAGATAGATAGATAGATAGAGAGCTAGCTGCTGGTGGAAACCTGCCTCCACCAGCAGAAGCCCATCTTTTCACCCAGACAGGGGGTTAGATGCTCCATTAATTTACCCAGTGGAATGCCCCCCAACAGAGCTCTCTGTGCTACTGGGCCTGTTTGGGCTCTTACCTCACTTCTTTTGCTTTATTTTTAAAATTGACCTATGTTTCCCGGGGTGGCTGCTGTTTGATGATGGGGAGGCAGTGGAGGACCATGAACACTGGGTAGCAAGGATGCCACATGTGTTTGCTTGCTGTGTCACATGGGCACATAAAAGCTGTGCGTGGGAGAGCTTGATTGACCATTGTTTAATGGGTTGGGGTTGCTATGAAAGCCGTGGACATGTATGTGGGCTTCTGCTCTTTTCCTTAGCTGTAGCTCCCACCCCATCCCAAGTGGTGTATGAATACAGTGAACTTTTTCGCAGGTGGTTTACTAGTGAACAGGCTCCCAAACAGGATTCCATTCTTTGCATTGTTCTTCCCAGTAAGACATATCCATCTTTATTAGTGATTGATTGAGGGGATCATCAAGTTGGGGACCCAGGTTTTTTTACACCTTGTTCTATTCTGGCATTAAAGGCAGCAGCAATTATTATATGAGAACCTGTAGACGTAGTGGAGAAACCAATGACACATTATCCAGATTCCCCCCATTTTTTCATCCCTGAGGAAGAATGTAGACAATTGTACAAGAAAGCATGAAATTTCTTTATAGTAGCCTTGAGATTACTGGAGAAAAAAATGGCATTCTTGTAGACGTTTTGAGGTCAGTTAATGTTCACCTGCAATCACAGTTTAGGCCAATATCACTATTAAACTGTGATTACAAACTCTTTGCCAATATATTGGCAAGGAGGCTTAAAGAAGCCATCAGAGAAATCATTCATCCACACCAGACGGTTTCTCCCAGGAAGACAAATTTCGGGAAATACCAGAAACATTGTCGATATTTTGGAATATCTAGAAACTAAAAGTGATAAAAAGGCAGCCTTGTTATTACTTGATGCGGAGAAGGCCTTTGACAACGTTTCCTGGTATTTTATGAAAAAAACAGATAGAAATAAAGGGACTAGGAGTAAAATTTAGAAATGGAATTGAAGCAATATGCCACCAACAAAGAGCTAGGCTTCTAATAACATAATAACATAATATAAATCTGGGCAAGAAAATATAGACAATATAAGCAATATAATGAGAATGATTAGTAGTTTTACATTTTAATTTGTTATTTAATTGTAATATATTGTATTTTTCGTTTCTTTCTTTTTTCCTTTTTTTACCGTTTTCTTTACTTGTATTGCTTTTGCTTTATATGATTGTTATCTATGTATATATGTATATGTGGGATATTAATAAAGATTTCTGTTCTCATCCTGAAGCAAAGTTCTTAACCCGAGGTACTATTTCCGGGTTAGCGGAGTCTGTAACCTGAAGCGTATGTAACCCGAGGTACCACTGTATAACCTTATAAGATTTATTCAAAAACCTCACAAAATTATAGATTGCATTTCCTCATAACATCAAAGCAACTCCTTAGAGTACTGACGAAGATAATATGGAATAATAATGTAGAATTGTGGCAGGTAGTGATACCAGCCCCAATGAATAATTTTGTCCTGGGAATGTGCTGCTATATACTTGCAATTGAAATTATTCAACCCCCATTGTAAATTCATTTGGATGATGTAGACCAGGCATAGGCAAACGCGGCCCTCCAGAAGTTTTGAGACTACAATTCCCATCATCCCTGACCACTGGTCCTGTTAGCTAGGGATGATGGGAGTTGTAGCCCTTAAACATCTGGAGGGCCGAGCTTGCCTATGCCTGATGTAGACCTTTGGAGTATGAAGTTTAGAGGCCAATATAATATTGACAGAGCCATGCTCGGCATTGCATTGGGTCATTTGGCTTGACATTCACATCAGTTTGTGCTCGTCAAGTCACGTGCCCACCATTCTAGGAACAAGGAGGACATATTCCTTCCAGTCCTTTACTCTGAGGCAATGTTGCCTATAAACATGGCAAGGAAAGTGGAGTGATCTGTTTTCTCCTGCCTAACTGTATTTTGATTTGGCTAGTTTAATTTGATTTAAAGATCCTTTAGACCGTTATACTTAATAAATATGACATTTTTTCATAATACTGTGCCCTGAGTCTTCCTTATGGTGTGTTTTCTGTTAAAAAATGCCCTGAAGAAAGAAATGAATTGGAAATAAGTATTCATCCTTCGTTCAATCTGTTTAATTTCAGGGGCTTGGTGAGAAATAACCTTCCCCTCCACTAACTTCCTTTTTCACTTGCTGCTGCTTATTTTATTTATCTGTGGTTTTTTCCTGCTTGCCTAATACACTGTTTTATATACTAGAGCATTATTTTATGTCAGATTTAACAAATGTTCAATGTAAAAATACATAATTTAAATATAAATAAATTACCTGGGATTCCATACAGGGCACGATCAATTACTGAATGGCACAGTCTCCCTGTCTCTGTAAAAACTTTTGTCACAAATAAGGGATAGCCGACAAGAATACTTGAGTGATGATAAATAACAATCCCTGGTCCTGTAGGGAGATGTTCCATGCCATAAATTTCATAACCTGAAAATAAAATGAAACAAATAATATTACTTTGTTGAAAGGTAAATAAAATATCAAAAAAATTACTGGAGAAAATCAATGTGGTTCAAAAAACTGAAATTTAGGTAAAAAGCTCTACTATATCCTACAGCTTTCTAGATACTAGGCTGTCATCCACACGTAACAGGACTTTCTCTGTGGTCCTCCCAGAATTAATGGCGGGAAGGGGAATTTCTCCTCCTTGACAGATTAGAGAACTGGGCCAAAACAAACAAGATGAACTTTAACAGGGAGAAATGTAAAGTATTGCACTTGGGCAAAAAGAATGAGAGGCACAAATACAAGATGGGGGACACCTGGCTTGAGAGCAGTACATGTGAAAAGGATCTAGGAGTCTTGGTTGACCACAAACTTGACATGAGCCAACAGTGTGACGCGGCAGCTAAAAAAGCCAATGCAATTCTGGGCTGCATCAATAGGAGTATAGCATCTAGATCAAGGGAAGTAATAGTGCCACTGTATTCTGCTCTGGTCAGACCTCACCTGGAGTACTGTGTCCAGTTCTGGGCACCACAGTTCAAGAAGGACACTGACAAACTGGAACGTGTCCAGAGGAGGGCAACCAAAATGGTCAAAGGCCTGGAAACTATGCCTTATGAGGAACGGCTAAGGGAGCTGGGCATGTTTAGCCTGGAGAAGAGGAGGTTAAGGGGTGATAGCCATGTTCAAATATATAAAAGGATGTCACATAGAGGACGGAGAAAGGTTGTTTTCTGCTGCTCCAGAGAAGCAGACACGGAGCAATGGATCCAAACTACAAGAAAGAAGATTCCACCTAAACATTAGGAAGAACTTCCTGACAGTAAGAGCTGTTTGACAGTGGAATTTGCTGCCAAGGAGTGTGGTGGAGTCTCCTTCTTTGGAGGTCTTTAAGCAGAGGCTTGACAACCATATGTCAGGAGTGCTCTGATGGTGTTTCCTGCTTGGCAGGGGGTTGGACTCGATGGCCCTTGTGGTCTCTTCCAACTCTATGATTCTATGATTCTATGATTCATGGAATGTTCCTTCCATGCTTTCTTCCAGGCGCAGTCTTTGATTGAGCTATTTTCTGTTTTAATCTACTTTTAGCTTTATGCATTATTATGGTAAATGTTTTGGAGATTTATAAATTTTATTTTAAGGGCAGTATTACCCTTCTGCACAGGATTGCTTTGGGAAAGAGCTATCCAAGGCCTGGAGTACATTTATCCCCTCTCCCTAAGAGCTCCAACTTCAGGCATCTTCAGACCATTTTCTGAATCACTTACCACGCTGCTTCCATGACAGATGCACCCTAATCATGTCACAAGTAATTACGGGGTCTCATCATCATCAACCTTTTATTCGACCGTCAGTCAGAAAAAAGTACATTTGTCAATACACAGTTAAAACATCCAGGAAGATTTTAGAACTTAGCCAACACTAAAATGGGCTAAACAGATAGCCCCATATCAATACAGTCAATTATAGTCTTGCGAGGCTTAAAAGCTAAAAAAAGAAATTTGGCCACCAAGGAAGGTATAGCTCTAGTGACATTATTCAGCAAGTGTAAAGCCTGGTTTTCTCTTGGTAGGAAGCTAAATTGACATAGGAGTGGGTCTATAAAATTTTGTCTAAGCTCTGCATAAGAAGGGCAAGTCAAGAGAATGTGTTCGGTGGACTCAACCACACCCATGGCACAATGACAGGTTCTCTGGGCATATGGTACTCCCCTGTACCTTCCCCACAATATCGCAGAGTCAAGGACATTTAATCTAGCCGCTGTAAGAAGTCTGCGGTATTCCACATAGTGGATTTCTGCAAGGTAGGGGGCTGGTATGGTCCGATAAATCTGGTCCCCTAGGAACATCCCTGGTTTTACCTGGGCTATGTCCTCTTGTCTGGCAATGTCACTCAGTCTCCGGGAGATCACAGCTCTAGCTTGATTGTACGTCATAGACTCAAAGTAAAGGTGAGACAATCCGCAGGATTGAACCTCGTTAATGACCTCCTTTTCCCACGATGATTGGAAATCGTCCCTCAATATCAAGGGGGCAATGCCCACTGGTTTAAAACAGAGCTTGAGCCATAGCCAGAGCTTCGTCTTCAAGGCCACATACCATAGAGCTTGCCAGCCGACCTCTAATCTCATAACCGCACCCGCTACCGAGGGGGGAATCCTAAGGATGGCTCTAAGGAATCACGTTTGAATAGAATCCAGTTTCAAAAAAATCCCTACGGGAGCCTAAAGAGATGCCCACCAAAAGAAGGGGGAGGACTTTCATTTGAAAGAGTCTCAAAGCTATCTTCACTGATTGAGCCTTGATTCTTAGCATATAGAGATCTAATCTGGATAGCTGCTTTAGATGCATTAGTTGTTATATAGTCTCTATGGGTCAGAAAAGACCTATTTGACCGTATTACTTGTCCCAGATATTTAAAGCAGTTAACCTGCTCTAGGGGGATCCCGTTCATCGACCATCGATGGAGTCTCGGTCGGGCAGAGAAGACCATGATCTTGGTCTTAGCATAGTTGGGTTGGAGCTCATGCTGATCACAGTATTCATGTAGAGCTTGCAACATTCTCCTCAGTCCAATAGGGGATCTGGCAAGAAGTGCGGCGTCATCCGCATACAGAAGAACATTCAGAGATCGGCCTGCTAATTTGGGGGGGTGGAATGCATCATTGGCCATGTGAGTCACCAGTGAGTTAATGTAAAAGCTAAACAATGCTGGGGCCAATAGACAACCCTGTCTTACCCCTCTAGTGGTGGTAACAGGGTTGGAGACTAGGCCTTTATTGTCTAGCCTGATTCTCAGAAAGGTGTTTGTATGGAGGCTAATACAGTGGTGCCTCGCAAGACGAAATTAATTCGTTCCGCAAGTCTCTTCGTCTTGCGGTTTTTTCGTCTTGCGATGCACGGTTTCCCATAGGAATGCATTGAAAATCAATTAATGCGTTCCTAGGGAAACCGCCTTCAGACCAGGTCCGGGGACAGTCTGTCCCCCGACCTCTTCTGAAGGCTGGGGGGGGGCAAGGGCTTTTCTTCCCACTGCCAGCCTTCAGAAGGCTGTTCTGAAGGCTGGCGGTGGGAAGAAAAGCCCTTCTTCCCACCTCCCGCCCCGCAAGCTCCGGGGACAGGAGGGCTTTGCTGCCGACCGCCAGCATTTTAAAAGCCCCTGCTGTCCCGGGGCGATTTTAAAATGCTGGCGGGTGGGAGCGAAGTCTCCGCTGCCCCGAGGAGATTTTAAAATGCTGGGGGTCGGCAGCGAACGCTTCGCTCCTGCCCGCCAGCATTTTAAGATCGCCCGGGGCAGCGGAGAAGTCTCCGCTGTCCCGGGAAGGCAGGCGGGGGAGCAAAGACTTTTGCCCCCGCCTGCCTTCAGAAGAGGTCCAGGACCTCGTTCCGATGCCCGGCGGCGGGGTGAGAGGTTCCCGCCCCCCCGCCCCGCTTCGGAGCAGCGTTCCGAAGCGGGGCGGCTGGGGCAGGTGTTCCCGCCCCCCCGCCCCGCTTCGGGGCAGCGTTCCGAAGCGGGGCGGCTGGGGCAGGTGTTCCCGCCCCCGCCCCGCTTCGGGGCAGCGTTCCGAAGCGGGGCGGCTGGGGCAGGTGTTTCCCGCCCCCCGCCCCGCTTCGGAGCAGCGTTCCGAAGCGGGGCGGCTGGGGCAGGTGTTCCCGCCCCCCCGCCCCGCTTCGGGGCAGCGTTCCGAAGCGGGGCGGCTGGGGCAGGTGTTCTCCCGCCCCCCCGCCCGCTTCGAGGCAGCGTTTCCGAAGCGGGGCGGCTGGGGCAGGTGTTCCCGCCCCCCCGCCCCGCTTCGGGGGCAGCGTTCCGAAGCGGGGCGGCTGGGGCAGGTGTTCCCGCCCCCCCGCCCCGCTTCGGGCAGCGTTCCGAAGCGGGGCGGCTGGGGCAGGTGTTCCCGCCCCCCGCCCGCTTCGGAGCAGCGTTCCGAAGGGGCGGCTGGGGCAGGTGTTCCCGCCCCCCGCCCCGCTTCGGGGCAGCGCTCTGAAGCGGGGCGGCTGGGGCAGGTGTTCCCGCCCCCCCGCCCCACTTCGGAGCAGCGTTCCGAAGCCGGGCGGTGGGGGCAGGTGTTCCCTCCCCCCGCCCGGCTTTGGAGCACCGGGAGAAGCGATCTCCCCGCAGCCCCTTGCTTCAAAAGAGGTCCGGGGGCAGCGGGGAAGAAGCGCTGCGCTTCCCGCTGCCCCCGGACCTCTTTTGAAGCAAGGGGCTGCGGGGAGATCGCTTTTCCCCGCAAACCCTTGCTTCAAAAGAGGTCCGGGGGCAGCGCGAAGCGCTTCCCGCTGTCCCCGGACCTCTTTTGAAGCAAGGGGCGGTGGGGAGAAGCGATCTCCCCGCAGCCCCTTGCTTCAAAAGAGGTCCGGGGGCAGCGGGAAGCGCTTCCCGCTGTCCCCGGACCTGGGGCTGCGGGGAGAAGATCGCTTCTCCCTGCCGCCCCTTGCTTCAAAAGAGAAGACCCGCTGTCCCCTGGGCAAGCTTCGTTTTGTGAAGCAAGCCCATAGGGAAATTCGTCTTGCGAGGCAACTCGAAAACGAAAAAACCTTTCGTTTTGCGAGTTTTTCATCTCGCGAGGCGTTCGTCTTGCGGGGTACCACTGTAATCAGATGAAGGAGACGACGATCGATCTTTGTAGCAGCCATTTTTGTCCATAGCTGCTTTCTAGAGATTTGATCAAATGCCTGCTTAAGGTCAATAAAAGCCACATGAAGAACCTTTGGGGCTTTGCCGGCATACTTTCCCGCCAGGTGATTCAAGGTTAATATTTGGTCTGTGGTAGATCTTCCAGGGCGAAAACCCGCCTGTTCATCGGCAATGATATTGTTGTCCTCCATCCATTTCGATAGTTTGCTTAGCAGGTACCCCGAGTAAATCTTCCCAATGACATTTAGCAAGCTGATTGGTCTAAAGTTGCTCGGCTCTGTACATGGGCCTTTCTTATGTATTAATACAATCAACGCAGAGCTCCAGCTTGAGGGAAATTTTGCTGTTTTGTTTATATGCGTGTAAAGTGCTGCTAAAAGTGGGATCCACCAATCTTTATTTGCTTTGATGGCATCAATGGATATAAGGTCATCACCGGGGGCCTTGCCTGCTTTAAATCGATCTATGAGAGTTTCAACTTCAGGGCATATAACTGGGTCCCAATCGGGCAGTGCTTCCGGCTCCACCGTATCTCCGCAGGCATCATGGGCTGCATACAGATCGCGTCTCATGCTTATGGCCCAGACTTGGTTTTAGTAGGGTATTTTGGATTTGTACATCAACTCCTAAAGAAATAAAAGTCCTCTAGGAAGCATTCAGCATATAGGAAGAGTCCTGCTGATCAGGCCAAAGGCCTCTATAGTCCACCATCCTGTTTCCTGCAGTGTCCCTCTAAAGAGTAGCCATCACCACATCCTGTGCTGGCAAATTCCAACGTTTATGTTTCAGAGCTACCTTGTGGTTTATCATGCTCAGGAAAATCACACCTACAAAGTCCCACTATACAATGTTATATTAATCACATTGGCTGTGTACCCACTACACGCTTAAAGCCAATCCCTCTCCCTTTCCACAATCCATGAAACTATTTTTAAAAGGCTTTGCTAATTGTGTCTCTGTGAGATGTAAACAACATTCTCCAGGTTTCTTTTGGAGAGGAGGCATGCTTTAAATGTGATTAAATGTATGGTGTTTATGCAGCCACCAACTGACCCTTCTGTAATATGTCTTGATTTCATACCTCATAAAAAGTTTTTTTTCCCTTTATCATTGCTTATTACATATATAAATACCCATGCCTGTGTTTTGATCCTTATGGAGCCAACCGGAAATTGTAGCTGTTGTGACCCTGAGGTGGGTTTAGAGGTCCAGTCCTGATGCACTGTGGCAACTATTGTTCCAGTGCTTCATACCTGAAATTCTGATGCTCAGTCCTATGAAATTATACTGGCTCATAAATTGGAATTATTGGTATGAAAGGAACATGTACTCACCATGCCATATCTTTCCAACTAGCTCTACAAATCGAGCCAAAGCATGCCTTGGCTTGTCCCAAAATTTGCTATAAAAATCATTTCCTTGGAGGTTATTCATCTTCTTGTAAGCATTGAACAAAAATGAGATAACACAGCCAACAAAATAAAAATATAGCCAATGTGAATAAATCAAAATCGGAAGCAGGAATAACCACAGAGGGTGAACCACAAAGCTCAGGTATTCTTCCAAATAAGTAAAACTAATCCAGCTCATGGTTTCCTGATCTGAAGCACGAAGCGTATGCCAATGAAACAAATGAATCAAGTGAGTTTTTCCTCAGTTTTGATGCTTTCTCCCCACTGTTTACCTGGAAAACAGAAAATGCAGTACATCAGTTTGAACTGTCACCCCAGAGCATTCATAGTTACATGAAATCACATGCTATTTAATATTTTCTTACTTTTTCCCAAAGTAACTAGCCAAGTAGACATATTGTTTTTCCAACATTCATCGTGGGGATGTACAAAATTTATTTGTTTGGAAAGCAGGCTGGTTTCATTTCACAGCAGAAGTGTTAAGGTCTTCTAGACTGAGAGCTCTGGCACTTGCAGGACTTTGTTAGCCACTGGACTTTGCACTTGCTGTGTAGAGTTTGCCTCAGCAAGTACAGTGGTACTTCGGGTTACAGACACTTCAGGTTACAGACACTTCAGGTTACAGACTCCGCTAACCCAGAAATAGTACCTCGGGTTAAGAACTTTGCTTCAGGATGAGAACAGAAATCGCACCACAGCGGCGCAGCGGCAGCAGGAGGCCCCATTAGCTAAAGTGCTGCTTCAGGTTAAGAACAGTTTCAGGTTAAGAACGGACCTCCAGAACAAATTAAGTTCTTAACCTGAGGTACCACTGTACTTTATAAGCCAAAACGCTCTCTTGTTTTCAGAGAGTGAAGACTTCTTGTAACAACTGCAAAGAATGTGTATATATAGTGTGTGTCTTTTTGCCCCCGAAGTAAAAGCTCTCTCTGCTACACAGTTGTTTCCTATACTGAGCCTAACCGCTTGACTGAACTTCTGCAGCACAAACACAACACCCAACAAGGAGGGTGGGGAGAATGGGGAGCTGAAGTTTGGAAGCATTTTGGGATACACTGCAAAGTGCCTCTTTCTGGGGATGGGATGTGGGATTGCCAGGTGAGGGCCAATGCTATTGGATTCTACAGCATGATAGATCATTCTATCATTTTTGAGATTGCATCCCAGTACAGCTTTCACCACTCTTTTTTTACTATGAGGGCCACTCCATTTCTTTTGCGGGTTTCTTGCCCACAGTAGTAGATATGATGGTCATTTGAACTGAATTCGCCCATTCCCGTCCATTTTAGTTCACTGATGCCCAGGATGTCAATATTTATTCTTGCCATCTCATTTTTTACCACATCCAACTTACCCAGTTTCATGGTTCTTACATTCCAGGTTCCTGTGCAATATTTTTCTTTACAGCATTGGACTTTCCTTTCGCTTCCAGGCATATCTGCAACTGAGCGACCTTTTGGCTTTGGCCCAGCCGCTTCATCAGCTCTGAATCTACTTGTACTTGTCCTCCGCTCTTCCTCAGTAGCATGTTGAATGCCTTCCGACCTGAGGGGCTCATCTTCCAGCGTCATAACTTTTATATGCCTGCCAAGAAAAGTTCATGGACATAACTTTTATATGTCCATGAACTTTTCTTGGCAGGGATACTGGAGTGGCTTGCCGGTTCCTCCTCCAGGTGGATCACGTTTGGTCAGAACTCTTCACTATGACCAGTTCATCTTGGGTGCCCTGCTCGGCATAGTTCATAGCTTCTCTGAGTTATTCAGGCCCCTTCGCCACGGCATTATCCATGAAGGGGATAATGTTTCTAGTGTTGCTATAAATGTGCCTCCCGGGCAAAAAGCCAACTTGGTCATTGTGTATAATCATCTGGAAGACTTTTTTTATCTTTCAGCTAAAATATTTGCATATAATTTATAATTGTTATTTAGGAGTGCGACAGGCCTATAGTTGTTAATAAGTAGATTGTCCGTTCCCTGCTTTGGAATTAATGCAATAAGGCTGTCTTTCCATGAGTCCGGCATGGTTCCATCTTTTAAGATGTTGTTCATGATACTTCTTAATGGGTCAGTCAGTATGTCCTCAATTTTTTATAATATATTGCCAGTAGGTCATCAGGCCCTGGTGACTTTCCTATCTTTGCTTCCTTAATTGCTCTTTGAATTTCGTACAATGTAATAGGGGCATTCAACAGTTCTTTTTGAGTTTCTTGCAAACATATCAAATCCAATTTCTGTTTGCTGAGTATAAATTCCACCTTATTTCTTTTCTTTTTATCATTTAAATCATTAACATTCCAGGTAACAATCCTTAATTCCATTATTTACTACACAGTGATTTAACTTCTTAACAAAAAAATAAAAAATAAAAAAATCAGAAATGTCACTTGTCATTAATGCTTAAGATTCGTTCTCCTCTGATTGTTTTTTAAGATCGTCCGCCCCTCCTCCCAGCTGCCTTTTACCTCCTAACTCCTCTTTATATGTTCTCCAAAATTTGTCAGCATCCTCCCAAGTAACAAATCTCCTCCTTTTCCCTTTGTAAAAAAAGGAAATTCCCTCAGGGAATTCCCATCTGTGCACAATTGATTTTTTTATTTAGTGCTTCCACCAATGGTTTATATTTTTCCCTTTTTCTTAAAAGCCTTGATGGAACAATTTTATGAATGATTATGTCTGTTTCCTGAATTTTAAGTTTTGTCTTACTGCTAATTTGTAGTATTTTATCTCTAATATCCATATTCACAAAAGTTACCAGACAGTCCCCAGGCCAATTATTAGCTCTTGCAATTCTTGATCTGATTCTAAAGGCTCTCTCAATTTTGTTTCTCATTTCCTGCTCTTCTATTCCCATCCATTTGGCTAATTCTGATGATATTTTTTGCTCTATCACTTTATTTGGTTCTTCTGGGATAGATCTAAATCTCAATGTTTTTTCTCTTCTGTGCATTTCAATCATAGGGATTGCATCTAGGACTGCGTCATGGGTTTCTTTCATATCTGCCACCTCTTTCTTAATTTTTTCTGTTTCCCCTTTTTTTCTCTGTTCTCCTTCTGTACTTTCCTTAGCCCTTCCTCCAGACTTATCGTTTTCCCTTTTAATTCTTGTACAGTCTTTCTTATTTCCAAATTTTTAACCACCAGATCATTGATTTTAACCATCATTTCTAACACCATTTTTGCATTTTCCTCTATTTTTCGCCCCATCTTATCCAACTTTTGATCTGTTGATCTTATACTGTCATTCATCTCTTTCTTCATCTCTGAAATGTCTTTTCTCAGTCCCAAGAGAAGATCTCTCATTTCCGAATTCATTTCTATGTCTTGATTTGAGTTTCTCCTGTTAGAATTTGCAGTTAACACCACTGCCGCTGGATTCATAAATTTCTTATTCACGTTTGACATAACCAATAGTTTTATAATCTGTTAGTAACTGTTAAACAGGTTAGTACCTGTTAAAGTCGCTTCAGGTTGAGCGTTTTCAGGTTGCGTTCCACGGTGACCTGGAAGTAACGGAACGGGTTACTTCCAGGTTTCGCTGCTCACACATGTGCAGACACTCAAAATGACGTCACACGCATGCGCAGAAGCGGCGAATCACAGCCGGCGGAGACGCGGGTTGCGTTCTGCTCAGGATGCGAACGGGGCTCCGGAATGGATCCCATTCGCATCCAGAGGTACCACTGTAGCTGAGTTGCATCTTTCTGATTCTACTCTATTTTCACTACATCTTACAACTAAATAGTATGATAAAATTGCTGGAATATAATGGCGCCCGGCACGCTTCTCTGTGTGCCGATGGACACCTGTGCCAACAGGAAATCTTGAGCTCTCTTCGCAGCTCTTAGCAGAGTCCCGCAGCAGCAGAAAAGGTGCCTTGTGTGTGTATAATAAATCAGACTGTACGCAGGCTTCTTGCTAATCTCCAACAGTCTTTAATGAAAAGAAAAACATCATAAATCAGTCCAATCGAGAGAGCAGACATCCTCACAGCTCTCAGTCAAAAACGAAAGTAAATCACACACAAAGAAAGATTCCCGTATGTGAACAAAACCACGCCTCAGAAGGGGGGCCGCTAGGGGTGCATTGGAAGATGGCCGACAATACCATCTCTCCGACTCACACGAGGTAATTAAGAGGCTAAGATGGGAGTAATTAACCTCCTGAGTTTTCCCTGGGGAGGGGAAAATACTGCCTCGACTGCGGTGCCTATAAATCACCCCCGAGTTCGTAAGAAGGAGGGGGTGAGGGCACTAGACGCACAGCACTCATGTGAGGTCACTCTCCTAGACACTACTTCTGATCGCGCGACCTGGTTGCAGGAGCTCAAAATAAACAATTAGTGAGCAGCAAATGCACATGTTTCGAGTGAAGAAAGGGGGTATTGACTGCTAACCGAAGTGACCTCTGTGAAGCTGAGCGACGGGCTGGATTCAACAGGAAAATAAATCAAGAAGATGCATCAAAGATGTTGGTATGTCGGAACGGGGCGGAAAGGGGGGGGACTTTTCTCTTTTTTCTCTATGTGATTACCTAACAATCCCCCCCCCAAGAAGAACCGTTGCAACAATTGACAACAAGTGAAATAATTATGAACTGTGTGGAAATGAATTATTAACCAAAAGGATTTGTATTGTGGAAGATCTGGAAAGGAATGAGGGCCTTTGGAATGACACAGCTATAAAAAGAGATTCTCCATGACAGGCAGGCTTGTTGCAGGATTGAAGATCAAGAGGGGGAGGAAGCCATGGCTCTGTTATCATACTTGACTCTGTGTTTGACTTGGCAGAACCCCCTGAACAAGATCGAAGTGAGAGCGACAAGTTTGCGAAAGCTAATGAGCAGACGCTAAGACTGTTTTCTTTGGAAGTGCTGAAATACGTCTGCTGTCTGAATATGATTTTTGGATTAATGTGAAAATCCACACAGGACTATAATACGTTTGTTTCAACTCACTTGTGGAGACTTTCAGAGGTTATAAAGAAAGGAAAAATATACGATAATAACAAGAAGAGTTGATTTGTAAAGGAAAACAACAAAGAGAGGAATGGACAGAACTGTAAACATCATATGGACAGAACTGTGAACATCAAAGCAGCAGTAATAAGAGATCACTGGATCCCTTTCTGAGCTCAGAACATGGGTACCCCCAACAAAATTTTAAAAATTTGGCTTTGTA